GCAGGCCCGAGGACCGAGCCCTGGGGGCCCCCACTGCCCACATCCCTCCAGGTCGAAAATGACCTGTCCACCACCACTCTGGGTGCGGCCCTCCAGCCAGTTGGTGACCCACTTGACTGTGTGGGTGTCAACACCACAGTCCCCCAGTTTCTTAATGAGAACAGGGTGAGAGACAGTGTCGAAGGCCTTCCGAAAGCCCAGGAAGATTATGTCCACTGCTATGCCTGCATCTAAGGATTTGGTGATCTGGTCATAGAAGGCCACCAGGTTGGTTTGACAGGACCTGCCGCTAACGAACCCGTGCTGATTGCCCCTAAGCACATGCTCTCCTGCTGGCCCTTCGTGGTGTCAGACTCTACACTATAATTTGTGCCATCTTCCAGAGGGCACATCTTTCACCCAATACCTCTCTTATCCACCACGAAATCCCCAGGGCAAAACTCATTGTTGTCCAAATGATGGACGGGAATCAGCTCGTTGGAGCGGATGTTCGTCTCCACAGTGCCATCCTGCCACATCACGTCAGCTGATGTCATCGTCGTCACCACTTCTACAGCAACTCTATATGTTGAGAGAGAAAAGCAGTGATTTGAAAGAGAAGCTGCCCACTGTGCGTAGAATGGAATAAGTGTAGGCCCCTTGCTAATTCACTCTATTGTGTTCTGGGTTTTTCCTAGTACCAACAACCAAAAGGTAAAATGCAAAGTATGTAGTAGGAAATCTGACTGCCACACTGAAAAAGTTCAAGTGGGTACCCATGTTTCACACCTGGTACTAGACATATCAGCTGAGGGGCTAAGCACCAATGCCTGGTCTGAATGGATTCAGAGATGCACATGGGTCCATATTTGACAGCTTTTCAGCTGTGACCAATCTGGAAAGTCTGTATCACAGAAACCTTTGCATTCCAGGAAGGTGATTCCTTGTATATTTTATTCTTACAGGAGCAAATCTGAGTAGGCAACAGCACAGTGGCAGCATCTGGCTGAGAGAAAACAGGAACTTTAATCGTTCGGGACTTCAGATCCACCTCACTGAAATGCCTTCTGTTCTGAACGTTGCTGAGTTCTGAAGAACTTTTGAATGTGGGATCATGGAGTAAGAAAGGAAGAATAAGGCAGCATTTTATATATACCAGCTCTTTGAGATAAGCAGGGAAGAGGCAGTACCCAGTGCATGTAAAGCAGAAGAGCAGCCTGTTTAAGAATAACCAAGTTCTTGGCCGATGTCACACTCCACCAGCTCTGTGCTGCTTAAAGATAAATTGCAAGCACAGAATAATTCTCTGACACAAGGGCCTCCTTTTCTCACATTTTTAATCCTCCTCCTCCTCCCCTTCATGATGCATCATGCATGTCAATGCAGAAACACCTAGCTACAAGGCACACCTCACCTCTACCCAGACTCACTGACAGGTGCGTACCATCATACAGAGAACCACACTGAGGAAGCCATAGGTGACCCTGATTTGGGTCAGTTTAGCAGAACCTCTAACAGGTTAACAAGACTCAGATAAGATGTCAAAATACCAGATAAGCAAGTTACTTCTGGCAACAACACTGTTCAGACCTTTAACAAGGGACTGGCCAGGGCCAAGTTACTGGATGTACATGTTTAGCAATCCTAAGCCATGCCTGAACTACATTTAAAGTTTAAGAATGAGAATGAGTTTCCATGGGATCCAGTGAGTAAATCCAAATGTTTATATAATATATGCGTGTATTTTTAAAAACCCTGACATTCTGTAACTAACCCACCAACATCAGAGACTAGGAAATGAATTAGAGAAATCCATGCAATTTCCTACTGCCACATAAGGATGCAGCAACCAATCTTAACTCTGTCCTTTCTTTTTGATCAGCAAGAGCAGGCCACATGCTGATGAGAATATGCATCATTATCTCAGCTTACAAAGGATCTTGTAAAAAAGGCAAACCCAAGCGGTCTCTTTCCCAATTCCTCCTAGCATTTAAGACCTTGGGACTGGGTAAGCATTTCTTTTTGTCCTATTGGGAAGCTAGCTCCTCTTCATAGCCTTGTTCTAACAAATCTGTCGTTAAATTCTTCTGTCCCCCAGAGTTCACCCATACAAATGGTGTTTTTCTGATCCATCTATACCTCCTTGGCTTAAGCCTAACCAAACTAAAAGCCACCTCTCCTTATCAAAGGCAACAAAACATGGCATTTGCAGGCCAAGTCATTTAAAGTCCAATGGACAAAGACACTAGTATTTTTTTTCCTTTTTAAAGGGACTATATGTTAAGCTCCCTAACACAGACATTTCCCCTAACAATTCATGCTCTCCACCAAAAACTTCGAAAAAATCTTTACCAAGGGAAGAAATATGGCATGTGTCATATCCAATGAACTAACTTCCTTGGGGTGGGGGGGAGAGGCGGAGAAGACTGTGGAGGCAAGGTGAGAAAAAGCAGATTTAAGAAGATATTTCACCAGGAGCTCCTGTTGCGCCATGGAACAAACTCAAGGTTTGGCATAAAAGATGGTAGGAGTGAAGTCACTAAGTGGCGCCCTCAGTTAAAACCAGCAACCAAAAAAGGTTTTTTGGTGCTATCCTGTTAAAGTCATAACTGTGTAAATGCAACGAAGCTAAAGCAGCATGCTGAATGCGTGCACACAGAGAGGCAACAGCACGGCTGAAACAGCAGATCCAGCCCTTCTAGCTGCATCAAGCCAATTCAACAGGCAAGTCTCCTTCAGTCTGGACTTTCCAATGGCAATCCAGCTGCTGGGCATACTATGTCTCATCCATTTTCTGGCTGGCTCTTATAGCAATAGCGAGCAACCCAAGGTATTTCATGGAGATTAATGGCCAGCTGCCATAAAAGCCTTTTAAAGAGCCTTTTGGGGTTTCAGGTCCTATTAAAAAAAGTAACTTGTTACCCTTTGTTTGCATTGCCATCATCTCCTCAAAGTGCCCCAGAGACCATGCTGTTTTCCTGGCAGCGATCTGCCTGTCCACAGCATAGGCAAAGAGGTCCCTGTGGTGATCTGTAGTCAGCTATGAAAACTACCTTGTGCAACCCTCTCCAAGAGTGCTAGAAGTTGTATGAGGGGAGGCAGGAAGAAGAGGGAAACATTTATTGAGGCTGTTTCCTAAAACTCTCTTTTCTGGGGTCTCCACTGCTCGTTTCCATCTTTAATGCCAGTTCTCCGAGCTCTGATGCCATTGCTTTTGCAGCTCAGAGCCATTCCAGAGCAACTGTACTCCAAGCACAATGAAGCAAAACTGAAATAATGGAACAGAGACCAATGGCCACCCCATTCACATAATACTCATGATGCTGGATTTCCTGCATCCAAGAAGCCATCTACCCCTTCTGAAAAACTTTGCATCTTTACTCCTTGCTTTAAATAATGTTAAAAAGAAAAACCAAACCTGACCAGTGTTGACAGACCTGAGCTATGTTTTGTGCAATTTCTTTGTTGACTAAAATCATGGCTCTTACGAAAAGCCAAATGAAGCCACTACTCCTACCTAAACCATCTCATTGAACTGTTTCGTTTAATTTGCTCTTAAGATCCTCCAAGGAGAGAGATACTTTACGTAGCCTGTTCAGTGCTTAACCACCCTCAGTCAGAAAGATTTTCCCAATATCCAACCTAAAAGTTCCCTTGTTGTAATTTAAGGTTTCTTGTCCTGTTTCCTAAAGCCACAGCAAATTAGCATATCACCCACCTCTTCATAACTACCCTTCCTGTATTTGAAGACTGTTATCAAATCCTCCCCTCAACCTTGATTTTCTCTAGACTAAATAATCCCAGTTCTTCCAACTTTTCCTCTTAAACATCATGTTTCCTGGACCTCTAATAATGTTCCTTCTCTCTTCTGCAGTTTCTCTGGACTCTTTCCAATTTGTCTATATCATTCTTGAAGTTTGGTATCCAAGACTGGACATTGTACTTCAGATGAAGCTTCATCAAGGCTGAACAGAGAGGAAGAGTCAGGCAACACTCCTGCTAACATAACCCAGTGGATTATTGGCTTTTTGTGATAATAGCATGCTGTTGACTCATACTTCACTTGCAGTCCCTAGAATTCCCATCTCTTCTGCTATGGATGTACCAACCCTGTTCAAGAGGGTGAAGTATGGCACTACAGCACTGACACTGGGTCATTTGGATACTTTTCCACTGGAAGCTGGACCAACACCCAGCACTTCTCCCATAGGCTAGTGGACAGCTATCGGATGGTGACAACTGTCAATTAGTCTAAACCAGTGCTGTAATGCAAGATGCAAATGAGGACCCAACCTGAATTCTCTATTTATGTGAGCCTGCATTTATATTTGAGGAATTGGGCAAGGGAGGCTTTTGCAGAACATGTGCAAGAGAGATCTGAACCTTGTTGCCAGTCTTGGCCATTTTCAAGGGGCCTAAGCCAAGCTGCAGAAGCATAGCTAAGCAGAAGGCCCCAACGTCTGTTTGAGTGACCACAGAGTGAACCTTTGTACATGTGACAACTAGCTTGGTCAGCAAAGTAAAGGAAGCCATCAACTTGTCTAACTAAATCAGTAACGAGATACAATTTAACAAAGCCTGACTACAGATATTCTAAGGGAAGACTCATACACTAAATAAACCAAATATACTATATAGTAGCTTTATCTTATAGTATCCATGTAACCAAATGTACTAGATGCTGTTTTGCTATAATGGATATATTTTTGTTCTGTTTCTTGATAGGTTGCAAAAAAACCAAAGCAGCTTTGTTTACAAAAGACCATACATTTTGGGAAAGAGAAAAACAGAATGAGGGCAAGCACTATTCCCTAATGGTGAAGGAAGGAGATAAAAGTCCTTCCCTCCAGAAATGTAATCATCACAGAAACATAAACCCCAGCTAATTGGCATATCTCAAGTCCGCAGGGAAACTGGTTCAGTCCAGTTTCATACTTTTCAGTAAAACAAAAAATATTTAAATAAAATGAATCAGAGATAATTTATTAGAGTATTAGAGCCAATCATCTATAAATATAGGATGGGGTATGGCTGGAAGGAAATTTGGAGAACATGGCAAATTCAAGAAGACCTACTGCCAATGTGCACGCCACCCTCCTCCCACCTCTTGAGACTCCCCAGCTGGTATAGGTGAGACTATGTTGTGCTGCCCTCTGTAGCCAGACGAACATTTATCCCAAAGTCTGTTTTGTACGTTTTGAAGTACAAGCAAATAAGGGGTCAGGCTGTGGACCTGTTTATGCCTCTTATCACTAGCCAACCTGCAAGGTTACTTGTTAAGCTGGGTACCAACCTACCTGTCTCCTGGTTTAAACTCCCTGGAGATCTTAGTCTTCTTCTTCTTGTGCTTCCGCTTCAAGTTTTTGATGGAGAGGGGAATGCTCTTCTTGCGCCCTGTGCCGCTGCCACTCTGGGAAGAAGCTGTGGAGCTAGCAGAAGAAGTCACAGAGCTGGTGTCATCGGTGTCATCGGCTGCCTCGTCATCAGCATCTTGCTCCATGGACTGGAGCCTGTAGTTGGATGATCCATCCTCTTTCAGCAGGAACGGGGGCTGTTGCTGTCTCCCAGGAGCTTCAGTCATCTCCTTCCCCATCTCTTCAGGCTGCTCTTCCTTTAAAGCCCCCGTGTTTAGTGTGCCATTGCTAGAGTCCTCTACTTCACATTTGGGTCTGGTTTTAAGCTCTTCTGATTTCTGGTCGGCAGCAGCTGAAGACTCTGGGTCAGGTGGTTCACCAGTAGCCTGAGAATCTGGTGAGCAGGACATGATCTTCACGATCTGCTTCTTCAGCAGCCTCCTCACCTACAAAAAGCATGCCTAGTCAGTACACAAAGTAGGGTGTGGGGTGTCTGGACACATAGACAACACATTAAAATAGCCAGCTTTAGGCCTGTATAGAAGAGAGAATTTGGCTCACTGCCCCCTCTTCATGCTCCCCCTGCCCAAGAACATTGACAAAGCAGTGGGTTATTGCTCTCAAAATTAGCATGCTGGCAAGAAAAAGCAGCTGCCAACACATATAGCCATAGAAATGTTTTCCTGAAGAGGAAGAAATACTGGCCAGAGCACTGGGGTAATTGATTTCTGACATGACTAAGCAACAGCCCAGGGAGTAAGCTAGAACAAGCATTTTCAGTTTATATTGTGCCCCTTGTTATGAAATATCACTTTCCACACTTTCCAAATTTCAACTAAAAAAAGCATCCAAGGCTCTGCAGAAAGATCACTGCCCACACCACTGAAATGCAAGTGTCTGGGAGAGGGGACATGACACTTCAGAGGACTCCTGGGAAGCAGGGCTAGAAGGAACCTCCTGAGGTCACCTGGTCCGTCCCTCAGCTCAAGGCAGGAGCACCTCTGACTAAACTTTTCTGTCTGTGTAGCCTGCTCTTGACAATACCCAGGGGTGGAGAGTCCTCCACCTCTCTCGGTAGCCTGTCCAATGCTTAGCCATCCTCAGAGACAAAGTTCTTCCTAATTCCAAGTTAAATTTCCTCTGCTGCAGTTTGAGACCATTTATCCTACAATGCACGATAACCCAGGCCAAAAGAGAGCACAGGAAAGGAATGGAACGCTTTCTCCACGTCATTACTGAAGAGGGTATAAGTGAATAACACGCAATTCAAGGAAGCCAGAAAAGAGAAAAAAAAAAATCCTTTATGGGCTCTTCGGTATCATATCTAAAAGGTGGCAGCTATGACATCATGGGGCCTTTTCTGCACACCACTGTAGCATCAGGCTGTACTTCACTCAGTTTGATAAGATCACTGTACAAGGCAGCGTAGCTGTGCGCAATTGAGCGCCATTACACTTTATTGCATCACATTTTATATCCCGTGACTTTTATTGGAAGGCCGAGGTTTAAAAAGAGAGAGAATTTAAAAATTAAGCTACCTGAATCATGAATGCTTGAGCAGACATATTGGCAATACGAATGCTCCAACTCTCACACCCCCAGCTAAGCTTTCAAATGGTTTTCCTGCGAACGCACCTTCTTGGCGACGGACCCTTCTCCTAGAACACAATTTCTCTCCGGGCACTCGCAGGTGATTTTTGCAGGTTCCACCTTGTCAGGAAATACATAGAGACATCTTTCTCCAAGCTGCCTCTGCGCATGGTCAAAGCATCCCAGACGCTTTACCCTATTGGAGTGAGAAGACAGAGTTACCTCCGATGGACATTAGCTCAGAGCAGAGTAAAAGAAAATGGGCACCCCAGTGATTGCTACTCAAATGATGGATCTTCCTCCAGTTAGCGCTACTTAATTAAAATGGAGAGCTGTCCCTATTTAATATTCCCTGAATTGCAGACCTCTCACATACAGAGGTCCAAGGGAAGAGGTCCAGAATACTTCCAAGCAACCAAGGGATTGGGAGAAGACAGCCCCCTGCCTCACATGCTAGTTACCCTGATTCCAAACTCCCCAAATGAATTACAAAAATAGGCCTTAACTTCTGTATTTATTTTATTTCCATAGGCAGGGGAGGGTGGCATGTTATAGACCAACTCATTCACCTTACAGACTAACCTAATTCATTATGTCAAGAACCACTGCTCCTGAAACTGCCTCAAACTCAGGTGGAACTGTAGTCCACAGTGCTGCTAGTTCAAGTGAAAAACCCACCTAATATTGCATGGTTTCAAAACTTGTGTTTGTGGCCAACATGCACAACTCATCACCTGCAGGGGGTGCCAGATGCTCCTTGATGGTGGCACTGTGCCTTAGACTAGAGCAGCAGTTCCCAAAATGACAGATTGCACACCACCAATTTAAAATGATACAACCTTAAGTATCACCAGCAATTTTTTGTCATATAAAAGTAATTATTATAAACCTGTTAATGCATACCACTGACAGGTTGTCTGCATACCACTGGTGGTACCCATACCATAGACTGGGAACCGCTGGACTACAGCAAAGTGAGCCTTCCCTTCCCATCTCAGAGCTTCTCTACTTTTAGAAAACAATGTTCAACCCAACACAGAATAAACGAGGAAGGGAAGGGAAGAGGAAGCAAGCTGTCTCCAGGCATTGCTTACTTCATGTGCTGTTTGGCTAAAGCAGTGATTCTCAACCTTTTTGGACCCAAGGCACCCTTCACTGGATTTGAGGCCCCTCTATGACTTGTGAATTGAGTGGCACCAATTGCAAAAACTTAAAATTACAGTGCTTAGCTTACCCCTTTGTGGAGGGCCTGGGCAGAGCGGATGGGGGACCCTTCAGGCATGGACATGCCTGTGTCTGCATTTATAATTTATCAGCTTCTCTCTTATGCCTGGTTTATCTCCTTAGCCCTTGTGGCACCCTTCTAAGAGCGTGGCAACACCCTGGTTGAAAATCACTGGGCTAGAGAGCCTTTCTACAGCCCTGCTATGTTACGTTAAAAATCTAAATTGGCTCATCTTATGATGCTTCCCCAATAGCTGGGAGATGTAAAGTGTTTGGGGTAGCTGGCTGATAAGAGCTCCCTTCCCAAGGGGTTGGTACCAATATTGTATTTCCTGGCTGTTTACTTGCAGAGGGTTGTGGGCTGCTGGAAAGCTAAAAGACACCTTTAGCAGATCTCACCTGGATAAATTCTCCTGCGTGATTACAGATGGTGGGGGGCTTACGCTGTCATTACCTCCAGGACAGAAGCTCTTAGTGATCCAAGTAACCTTTAGTTCCACAACTTGTACCTGGAAAAAAAAAAAGCCCATTAGCTTCTGATTTCAAATCTGCAACACAAACAGAAAACATGACAATTTTTGCTCTAATACCACCAGTGTTCATCGCTTGAGGGTGAAGGAATCCTGGGCTGCTGCCATTAGCGCATTAGCGCTTCTCCATTAAGTAAAGGTTCTTACATCCATCATATTCCTAAAATGCTCAAAATACAACAGCTAATGTTTGTGGAGTTTCTATTTCTTCCATTATGGTTATGCCTGGCTTGGCAAAGAGGTTACACGTCACCGCAATCCTTAGGGAACCCTAAAGCGGCTGAATCTCAACCAAATTCCCCGCTATCCTTGGGCCCTAAACTGCATAGATAGTCAGAAGCCTCCTCTTCAGGGACAGGAAGGCCTAACTCAGAGTTTCAAGAGCAGAGATGGTTCCGATTCTCCCCAAGTAGTGGCAATCCAGTCACAGGCTTGTTCGGAGAATCCCAACTTCACTGCCACATGAGCCCCATCCTACTTCCTCTTGAACCCTGGCCCCACACTAGGCACAGGTCTCACCTTGAAGTTCCTACACGTGACTGGGAAGGAGATAGCCACAGGGACAAGGTGAAAAGAGGGGTAGCCTACAGTCTAAACATACCCTAAAGCACCACCCCAACTCCTAACCTCATGCTCAAAAGCTCCCATCAGCTCAGCAAGCAGAAACCCTGATGCTCACCCTGCAAACAGCACTTGTGTGGAGACATCAGAAGACCAGAACCACCATCAGTTCCCACCCGTCCTGAAAAGATCTAGACAAGCTAACAAGAATCCAGCAAGCTGCCAGCCAGGATGGTGCTCCCCCTAGCAAGCAGCCATGTCAGCTAGCCAGCCCGTACCTCTTCCACCACCACTCTGAACTTGCTCTTCGTGCTCAGGACAGGCTTGACTCCCGAGAGCCACTGCACACTGGAAAAGACTTTTGAGGGTCCAATGAGAACTTGCCCAGGATAAAAGCCATATGAATCGTCAAAGAAAAGACCCTGAAAGAAAAAACAAAGCAGCATAAAGGAACCGTAAGCTTAGAGAAAGTAGCTGATATCAGAGAGCATTCTGTTTGCAAAGACAGGGGAGCTATATGTTCCTCTCCTTTCTTAAGCACTACGGGTACTTCTCTCAAAAGCAGCTAGAACGTAGATTCCCCTACTCTCAGAGCTGGCTCATTCCTCTGCTTAAGCCATACTACCAGTCTCTATAGCAACTACCTGCTTGTCACACATGCCCAAAGGATGACAACTGGGTTGGGGAGAAGCAAAGGTACTTGCAAAAAATGGAGGAGCTTGATTTAAAGCAGGGGATAGTCAAGATTAGGGGTCCACTTAATTTGCGGTTTTCGCAAAAACTCTGAATGTCTGTCTGGTCTCCAGTGGTGTCCCTCAGGGATCAGTGCTTAGGTCTGTGCACTTTAACATCTTTATCAATGACTTGGATGAGTGGGTGGAAAGCACAATGATTAAGTTTGCAGATGACACCAAGCTGTGGGGAAATGCAGGCACATCTGATAGGACAGGATAAGGACCCAGGGTGACCTCGACAGACTGGTCCTATGGGCTGAATGCAGTCAGATGAGGTTCAATAGGAACAAGTACCAGGTCCTTCATCTGGGTAAGAAAACCTTCACTACAACTATATGATGGGTGGTTGTCCACTGGCTGGCACTGCATCTGAAAGGGACCCAGGGGTGACAATCGACCAGAAGATGTCGCCAGCAGCACAAACAAAACTCTGGCATGCATCAGCCACTGCTGTGTTGCAAACAGATCCAGAGAAGTGCTCCTCGCCCTCTATTCAGTGTTGGTGAGGCTGCAGCTGGAGTACCGTGTCCTGTTCCGCACTTCAGGAAGGATGTGGATAAGCTCGAAAGGGTGGAGAGAAGGGCGACCTGTATGGAGCAGGGGCCTGGAGGACAGGCCTTATGAGGAGACTCTGGGAACTGGGTTTGTTCAGTCTGAGCAAGAGAAGACTGAGAGATGACCTCATAGTGGCTTACAAGTGTCAAGGGTAAACACCACGATCTAGGGGAGCAACTCTTCAGAAAGGCACCCCCCAGGGAGGACTAGAACTAACGGACACAAACTAAGTGAGGAAAGATTTAGGTTGGACATTAAGAAAAACTTCTTTTCTGTAAGGGTATCTAGAATCTGGAACATGCTTGCAGCAGAGGTGATGCAGTCACCATACTTGGAGGTGTTCAAGAGGAGGCTGGACAAGCACCTCGTTGAGCTCATTTGAGCCCAATGACCTCCTGCTCATGGCAGGGGACTGGACTTGATGATATTACAGGTCCCTTCCTGTCCTTTGATTCTATATATTGCATTGGCTGTGATTTCCTATGAAATTAACCTAAAAAAACCCCAGCATGTTATTCATAAAATATACTGTTTTAGAATGCCAACCACGTGATAATCACTGCAGCCATAGATTGCATGACTGAGAGTTACTGTCTGGTACAGATTAAGTTGGGAACCATGAACACCTGATTTCTTACCCCTGTTCTAACAAGAATATCTATGGCTTTTGGCAAGTCACTGTGCTGTTTGGCTTTGGCTTTACTGGTTGCCAAATGGGAATAATAATTCCCAAGTACCCAATGGACACGTCAGAGGGATTAGCCATTAGTGTTACAAGGGTTTTCATCTATAAGTTATAAATTATCATTAAGCCACCAATGACCTTCCATGTATTCTTTGTTGTTGACACTGGGGGTGACCAGAGCTAAAGAAACAGGGGTGGGGGTGGATGTAAAGGTTTAATAATGCAATTACATGCGTTAGGACTTTTTTAACTGAATATTTTAAGTCATGTAATGCATCAAAAGGACAAAAAGCAGGGCTATAAAATCTAAAACAATAAAGGCCAAGAATACTCATAAAAATTCAGGGCACTACAGCTGGAGTGGGCTGAAATAACAAATGGAGAAGGGCAATGGTCTGGACAAATGCTAACCATTGCATCTCTCCACTTGTTATTTCTGAGCACTCCTGATCTAGTGCTCAGAATTTTTATGAGTATTCTTGGTAGCAATTCTATGCGCTTCCACTGGAAATACTGTACAGTATAGAAACCCCATTATGAAAAACTGCCAAGGAGCATACTCTAACAGTCAGGTCCCTTTAAAAGGTGTTTCAAGTTGTGCACCCAAAATGACAAGTCACTGTTACAGTACAATACATATTATGAAACTAAGCTCTATCTTTACAAAGAAAAATTTCCATCTTGAGATCAAACACTGGAGAACAATTAGACAGAAGCCAACTCTTTGGAGAAAGAAGATCCCTCAAGAGAAGAGGGATTATATTAAACTTTGGATGCATTTGAACTTCAGCACAAGCACTGCTTTGTCTCTAGCGACGTAACAGAGCTTCACTGGGTGAGACTGACTACAATGTCAAAAAAATGTCAAGAGCATTAAACACAATTCCTTCAGTCAACCCCCTCAATATTGTTACTATTATGAATAATAGTGAAAAAGCTTCAGAGCAATATCCAATGCATTCTTGCTGACAAAGAATGGGAGGAAAAAAACTGAGCTAATGCACAACCTCTGAAGGGTGGGTGTTCTTTAGTCTCAGCCTGGTTATCAATGGGCCTGTCTCCATTCAAGCTGGAACCAACAGCCACATTCTCCATTCAAGAAATAAAAGAGATCAAAACAAAACACAGGTCAGGATTTAAGAAGGTAGACTGACAAAGTGAGTTCTCAAAAATTAGTTTTCAAGCACCCTAGTTCGAGAGCACCACTCAAATACTATACGCTTTGGTTACTCCATTCAACACTGCTAAAAGGGTTCTTCTCATCCTATTGATGTTACTAGCAGCTGCGTCAGCCAGACCCTAGTCCCACAGTTTCGCTAACTGTACTAACTGTTTGATTTAGGTTTAATAGGTAATACGTGCAATAACCTGGGAACTAAGACAAACTGCAAAGGGTTGTGGCCTGGCCAACCCAGCTACTTGAAACAGTTGAGTTACAGTAGAGTCTTTTCAAGTAGGGGTGATTATACTGTGGAAAGAGTGAAACTGGCTTTGAGTATTTTTATAAGTCACTCGAAAGGTGATTGGCCTCCTCACCTTCTTTTACCTAGCACTCATGTGCATTACTTGTAACACTAGCCAGAGTAAGATTTCAAGTTGGTGTCCTGTTAAGAGTGCTCCACCCACACGAAAAAGATCTTGTAAAACCTTTTCAGTGATTCTCGTACCAAGTTGTAGGATTAATTATTTTTAGTTGCTATGGCTTTGCCTCGGTTTCCTCCCACGGAAATTGTAAAATTGGAATTTCAGACTAACGTAAACAGCCTCAGGAGGATCAACAACTTACCGAGTCGCTGACATGAGGACAGACGTCATACAGCTTTGCTCCATCCTCTGTGCTCATAGAACACCTGGTTAAACAGTGTTGGAGAGATGGCGATGGTGAGATCAGTTACCTCAACAGTCAGATCTATGCAGAGCAATGCACTGTCTGGATGGGTGCGCCCACATGCCTGGATTTACCAATACTAGGCCAGACTGCACTACATTACTAAGTCTGAACACGATAAAAAGGGGTCTCCCCACCCCAATTCCACCCCCATAATTGTAGCTATGGGCTACAATTGAGCATACACATTAACATGCTCAACTGAGTACAAGAGATGTAGGAGGGAGTGGGATGCAGGGTGAGACTGTTTTACATGCTAGCACATTGGTTGCTCCAAGCTCTCACATCACATACGTTTCAAAAGTGCTGGAACCCGAGTTCTGAAAAAATAGCAAAACTAGCCTCAACAGGCCTGCTCAAACACTTTCTTCCCAGATGTGAGAACTGTGGTGGGATTTCAAAATGATTCACTGGTGGGAAGATGTTCTGAAGCAGATGTCACTTCTTACACAGCCATGCCCAGACTACTGGCAGATACCCATGAAGACTGGAAGTTGCATAGCTACCTTACAACTAGCAAGAAACAGAGGCCTTTTTTTTCTTAAAAAAGAGCTAGTAATCCCAAATGAACATGTGTTTGAGGTTCCTCAAAACCGCAAAGTTTTGTACCTGATGCAGAAAGTACCTGTAAGAATCTCCAGAATTACTTGCATCTCTTCTAGAGAGGAACTCAAACCTGGCACTGCAGTGTTCCCCCGTTTATCATCACTGCTCATTTTAGAGAGACAGATACTTTATCTAGCTGGCAGCGTTGTGAGCTTCTCACTGCACCGGAGTGTCGAGCAAGGCTCCTTTACTCTCACGGATCAGTAACAAACTTTGCTGGTCACAGCAGGCCCTCAGCTACACTCACTGCATTCAGAGGCTTTTGATTTTGAACAGGATGAGTTTGACATCCCTGATTTAGATGGCAATATTGTTTATCACGGCCAAAGAATAGATTCCAGCCCCCTCTCTTAGTTGGGTTTGTTCTGCAGGACTTTTAAGAGATATAGGTTAAGGAAGTCAGCAGCCGTGACTTGCACGTCTTCAATGATAAAAACAGTATCAACGCAAGCTGAAAACAGTGAAGACAAAATGACTCAGGTTAACAGATTAGGTTCAACTGCAGGCACCTTTAGACACTGTCACCCAAGCTCCTAACCAGCTTTATAAGTAGGGTTACCACATGTCTTCCATGCTGTTTTAAACCAAAATTAAGAATACCTCCTACAGTGAAGACATACCCTAGGCAGCATCCAGGAAAGAAGCTGGGGTGGGACAGGAGGAGGGGGTGCAGAATGGGACAGACAACAGTCACTTTTCAAAAAAGAATTTCCCTTCAAGACCATGACCTCTGGATGATTATGATGTTAGGAATTAGTTTTACCGGACCAGTCCAGATTTGTCACCAATTGATGCCATTAACCCCAGTCTCTCTCAACCAGAGAGATAATAAAGTTATTCTTTGTCCCGACTGTATTCTGAACCCTACTATAGCTGAGCAAAGGGCCTCCTGGGCAGAGTATTGGCTGCCTGAGTAAGATGCTACGGCTGTTTCTAGTTTTCTTAAACAGACTAAGGTTACTAACCGCATAGGTAAAGGGAAATGCTCTGTAGCGGAAGCAAGAGAAGTACCTGGCTCCATTGGAGAGCTTCAGGATGACCTGGTTCTTTAAATCGTAGACCTTGCCCAGCCAACAGTCATAAGCGATATAGTCACCATACATGAATGGCTGTAAGATAAAGGGTGAAAAAAACTCCAACAACTCACTTAAGTACCCCCACAATGCAGACTGGTGAGACCACTCTTCTGCTCACTCAGAACTGAAACAACAGTGTTTGCTGTGAACCGGGATCAAGGTACACTGTAGAAGTGGTTGCTTTTCAGGGAAAAAAGTAGCAAGGACAGCTGCATTCTCTAAACAACAGAAATAATTTTAGTTTTCATGGATCTTAACTTGGGCAGGGCCTTATATATTCTTTTGCAAAGTGCTGTTCAAATATTTTTATCAGGAATAAACAGTTTTGCAAAGGAAGCCATCTTTTTTTTTTTTTTTTGGGCAAAGGAAGCTTGGCTAAGTAACA